TCACTTGGACATCATGTCCTTTGATGTCCCTCCCTGGTAGAGAAAACACTGTTGTCTTCATCATTCCCTGGCTCTGCTTTGTCATTTCACTACATGTTTGGACTGGTTTTGCATGTTTTTGAGTTTTATATAAATGGAATCATCCCATGTTTATTCTTCTGTGACTTGCTTTTTCACTCAATATAATGTTTTTGAGATTTGTCCAAATAAACATGTACAGATACAGTGATCCTTTGAATACACCACAGTTATTTTTCTATTTTGTCCCACTGGTTATTTCGTCTACACCTGCGTTTAATCCCCTAAGATCCATTCTTGGTCCTTGCTCTTCCATATAGATTTCAGAATCAGCTTGTCAAGTTCCACAGTTAAAAACCCCTATAAGACTGTGAATGGAACCCCACTGAATCTATAGATCAGTTTGAGAAAAATCAACATCTATATGAAATTGAATTTTCCAGGTCATGAACATGGTGTGTCTCTCCATTTAGTATCTTCAATATAGTTATATACTTTTCTCATTTAAACAATCCAACCTATAACCAGGTATTATCCATTTTACCTCTTAAGTATATTTCAGATCTATCCTCTCCATATCCACTGGCACCACCCTATAGCAGGGTTTCTCAACATTGGCACTACTGGCATTTTGGCTAGATAATTCTTTGTCATGTGGGGAAGACCTATACATTACAGGATGTTTTGGCAAAATTCTTAACCTTTACCTACTGGATGCCAATAGCAGTACCTGCCCCGCCTACTTGTGACAACTAAAAATGTTTCAAACATTGTCAAATATCCACTGGTGGGCAAAAGAGCTCCCTACCCCCAGTTGAGAATCACTGTTTTACCCCAAGCTATCATCATTTCTTGCCCAGTGCACTGCAATAGCCACCTAATATGTCTCCCTGAAGCCACCAGTCACTGCACCCCATCCCATAATCCAGTGATTCTCAACCTTCCTAATGCCGCGACCCTTTAATACAGTTCCTCATGTTGTGGTGACCCCCAACCATAAAATTATTTTCGTTGCTACTTCATAACTATAATTTTGCTACTGTTATGTCTTAGGCGACCCCTGTGAAAGGGTTGTTCAACCCCCAAAGGGGTCACGACCCACAGGTTGAGAACCGCTGCCATAATCCATCTCCACACGACAACCAGAGTGACATTTCCAACTCCAATCCTGTCAGTTCCTGCTTAAAAACTCTAATCGCTTCTCATTTCTCTTAAAATAAAATTCAAAATGCTCACAAGCACTTTCTGTGTGGTCTAGCTGGCATTCTGCCAGATGCACCTGGTACCTCTCTGCACCCTTGCCCATTCTTCCTGCATTACCTTTCAATTTCTCCAATGGGCCATTCTCTTTCCAGCCATCGGGCTTTGCCTCAACCCTCTGCAAGAAGGCTCTTCCCCTGCCTCTTGTGACATTCTAAGAATAAGTAAATGTTATTTAAAAATAATAACCACCTATCTGAGGGCTCTAGATTAAAATCTGTGACATAAAAAAAAAAGTTGAATGCGTTTTGATGGTTGGAAAAGGGGACACTCTTTATCTGGGACAGAGCAGACAAAGGTTAGTGATGACCAACAAGGAATAAGGATAAAGAGTAGAGTTGCTCAGTGGTTAGAGCATCGGCTTGCAGCCCAAAGGGTTGTGGGTTCAATTCCCAATCAAGGGTACGTACCTGGGTTGCAAGTTCGATTCCCAGCCCCAGTTGGGGTGCATGTGGGAGGCAACCAATTGATGTGTGTCTCTCACATTGATGTTTCTGTTTCTCTCTCTCCTCTCTCTCTCTCCCCCCCTCTCCCCCCCCCTTCCGCTCTCTCTCAAAAAAAATCAATGGAAAAAGTATCTTCAGGTGAGGATTAACCAAAAAAAAAAAAAAAAGATAAAGGACATAGTATTAATAGAGTCACAAAATCTGGGATCTAGCCCCTGTTCTGTTAATCACTATCCATGTGATTTGTTTTTATTTATCTACAGTAAAATTAACTTTTGGGGGGTGTACAATTGTATTGGTTTTAACTCATGTATCCACTACCATAAACAGATACAAAGCAGTTCCATAACCTCAGAAAATTCTCATATGTTGCCCCTTTGGAGTCAAACACCTCCCCAATGCAGCCTGACAACCTCGATCCATTCTTTATCCTAGAGTTTTGCCTTTTCCGACCTCCATACTTAATCTGAGTCTTATTTCTTCACCCATAAAATTATTCCTATTTATTTTATATAAATACATACTATTTATATAGATGTGCCATCTTTTTATATTATATATTTAAAATTATATTCATATATAAATGTGTATTTATTTATATATAAAGATATTCCATCTTGATATTAAAATATTTATATATTTATGATGATCATTTGTCTGCTGTGGCTAAAACCCTGATGTGTAACAAGTGTCTCTTCTACAGTTTATATTTAGAAATGACTTTCTTTAAGTCTGTGGCTAATGACTAATTTTTGCAATTCTGCATCTTGAAATTTCAGTCTTCTCCATGAGGGTGGCTCCACCTGGGACTTCTGCATACTACCTTGGTGGGCCTGTAACTCTGTTCACTCCTACAAAGCTCTGCACTCCAGCATGTTTCCTAACCTCTCCTTGTGGTTGTCCTTCCTCGGTTTACCACACTGCAGAAGCCGGAGAGCCAAGTGCAATTCTCCTTTCAATAGTCTCTGCTGGGACTGGGGTGGGCAGCAAGCTTGTTCTGGTACCTTGCTATCTATGAACATAGCTAGGGTAGAATCAAGCCTCCTTCCCACCTAGATCGATGATCTAATGTTAAAAAGCTCACTGCCTTGGTTCATAGGGTTCCTACAACAGTAAATCATAAGAATTCTATATATAACCTTATATGGATTTTAACAAGTGCATCTGACAAAATCACTCATAATTCCCTTCTAGTATATCAGATTAGATATAACTAGAGTTGCTTGAATAACTGGATCCAGAAGTATTAATTAACTAATTAATATCTCCCTAAAATTAATTGATATCTCCCTAAAAGAGGGATCTAAACTTGGTCCTATCTTATTTACACATTTTAATTAATGAATGGCTAAAGATATAGACATGTTATTACCAAGTTTTTGGTATCAAAATAGTATCAAATACTATGATATTTATGATATAAATATAATAGCTAAAAATAATTTGTTAAAATAATACTTCAAAAGTTATCAACATAAATCAACTCGATGGAACAATGAGTAAGTAGATAAACGAGTAAGCTGAAATGTAATAGAAAGAAAAATTAACTACACAAAGAAGGGGAGAGAACTAGTTTGACAGCAGTTCACATTGTAAAACATGGGTGTATTAGCAGATTACGAATTTAATTTGTCATCAAAGTGACATGCTTATTTCAAACAAAACAACAGACTGTTATACTGCTCTTTTCAGTTTCACTGAAAAACCCCATATTACCAATTCCAATGGTCAAATTCTCCACCTCATTTTTACCTCCTAGCTGCATTTTAACAAAGGTGATCAGCCCTCCTTATGGTACCACTTTCCCTTTCCTGGCTTGATACTCTCTTGGTTCTCCCTCTACCTCACTGGCTACTTTTCCCAGCTTCCTTCAGTACTGATGACTGCCAAATTTATGTTTCCAGTCCAAACCCTTCCACTGAAATCCAAACGCATATGCATCTGCCTCACCATCGTAGAAACTCCCACTTTCACCTCCCTACCCAAATCTGCCTGTCCTGTGTTCCTCACCATCTCAGTAAGTAACAACTTTATCCTTCCAATTGCTCAGGCCAAAGCCTTGAGTCACTAATCTCTCTTTCCCTCTCTCTCTTTTTTTTTTTCTTCCATACCCTATATACATTTCATCAGTAAATCCTTTTGGCTCTGCCTACAAAATATACCAGAATCTAACTACTCTCACCTTCACTGCTCCATCATCTCCCCTCAGAAATGCTGCAATCATCTGCTAAGTGGTCTCCTTACTTCCAACCTTGAAACCTCATCCCCACAGTCTATTCTCAATACTGGAGCCAGGGAGAGCCTTTTAAAGCATGCATTCATTCAACACTCATTCTAAGACTATTTACTTAAATCCATCTATCTGCCAGGCACTTTTTAGGTGCTTGGAATACATCTGTGAGCAGGAGAAATAAAAGTCACTGTCCTCACAAAGCTTTTGCATCCTGAAAAGGGACAGACAATAAACTATAGATATAATAAATAAGTAAATTATATGCTGGGTCCAAAAGTGTTACAGAAAAAGAAAAGAAAAGAAAAAAAAAAAAAAAAAAAAACTAGAGCAGGTAAGGAGAAGTAGTACCAGAAAAAAAGGGGAGGACTGTAGATTCAAATAGAGGGATAAGTCTAGGTTTCCTTGGCGAAGTAACTTTTCAGCAAAAACCTGAAGAAGGTAAGGACTAAGCCTAGCAGAAGACCATCCAGAAAGATGTTAACATTAAGAATGTATAAAATATTATTTTGGGTTCCTTAGACCTTCAACTGATCACATGATGACTTGAGTAATACAAGATCTTAAACTTGTTTTTATCTAAATACCACTTGTATTTTACTTGATAATTTCCTAATAAACTACAAGTGCTTTTTTAGAAATGATAAATGAAGTATTAGAAACTACTTATGCAAGCGAGCTTCAACTCTTTTTCTAAAATTTCATTAGGAGTTTTGCCTTCCATTTCCTTGAGTTTCTTTTATGACCAATAAAGAGCAGTTAGAAAGGACTGCATCTTTTGATATGTACATAGGACATAACTAATACTCAGAAAAACAGCAAGTGCATCAAATATGGCAGATCCCTGGATTTAGCTTGCTAGGAATATAAACAGTTTTCAAATACAAATACTGACTGGTTTTTCAGATTATGTCAATTATGAAACTAATGATAAGCAAAGTCATCAGATTTATTCACACAATAAAATAAGTACAAAATTGTAGATTTTTAAAAACTCATTATTTTCCACCTAATTGGGTGAGATTAGCACAATGTTTTGTTTTTACCTTCCGGTGGCCTGTTGGATGTTGCCACAACGACGACCCCATTTTTGAACAGATTTTCAAAAAGCTGTTTCAGAATCATGGCATCAGCAATGTCAGTGACCTATGGACAACAACACATTTGTTTTATTTTAATTTCACTTCTGCTCTAACAAATTTGCTAATGGCTCATTTTTTTTTAAGGATGAAAGTGAATTCCTAGAGAAAAATTCTAATTATCATCATGAAGAAAAGAGTAGATAATTAAAAACATGAAAAACTGTATAGTAGTCTTTTAACTTTACTCTTCTTTTTTGTAAGCCTATCATTTCTACACAAATTATCAAATGGTTCTTTATTAACTTCTTTTATAGAACTACAGGTGGAAAGCATAGATAATTGTTCTAAACATTTACAAAGTCTAATTAATTAGACTAGTTCTAATTAATTAGAACTAACACGAACTAACCCCCTTCTCCTACTCCTGTAACATCTCCCTTCCTCCAAAAAAAAAAGGGGGGGAAAGAGAAAAAAAAAAAATACACAGGCTATTTAAGATTTCTAATACCTTTCTGGCAAAGGTCCCTCAAAAGGTGACTTTAAATGGTCATGGAACTTTAGAAATAAGGACAAGTAGCCAGTGAGACATAATCAGCTGCTGTTGAAAATAGAATGATGTGACATAGATACTATTGTGCAATTGTTGCACAAAACAATTCAACAGATGGCCCATCACAAAAATAAGCAATTTCATTGTTCTTTTTAAGTGCCTTCTATTACTGTCCATGAATAATCAAAAGGCACTGCAGTCACTTCCAGCACAGCCAGCCTCTGCTAACCTTGGTAAACACAAATATTCCTTCTACAAAAAAAAATTTTTTAAACCCAACTTATAAGAATGGTTAATACAGTACTTTAAAAAACAACTTCTGACAAAAGGAGAAATGCAGAATGCAGATAAAATTATTTAATCTAAGTACAGAGATACATATAACAATTGATCTTTTCTAAAATTATTTTTTAAAACCCACAATTAACAAATAAGCTTAAGGATGACTTTCTTAAAAAGCTTTTAAAAATCACAAAGGAATATAGAAATTAAGGAGGAAAGGAAGTTGACTTCAAAAATAAATGTATAGTGAAGGTTGATATTAACTTTGCACTTTCCTTAATGAATATAACATGGGTTTTAGATACTCTTGATGTAAAAATGTTTTGATCTTTCTTTAATAACACACTTAGATAATCTCTTTATTTATTTATTATTTATTTAAAAAAATTTTTTTTCTTTATTGATGTTAGAGAGAGAGGAAAGGAGAGGGAGGCAGATAGAAACACTGATAAGAGAGAACATCATTTGGCTACCTCCTGCATGCCCTCCACTGGGGATTGGGCCCACAACCTGGGCATGTGCCCTGACAGGGAATTGAACCAGTGACCTCTTGGTGCATGGGTTGACGCTCAACCACTAAGCCATGTCAACTGGGCAACACAATTAGATAATGTCAATAAGACTTGTTTCATAGTCATAAAATATATCACATAATATGTATTATGATTTTTAAATCATGTTAGAGTACATAGACACTAGCAGAATTCTTCCAAATTAGATCAAAATACTAAAAGTTAGCAACTAACCGGTTCGACACAACTAACAACAACTTGAATTGTACAGGTCTCAATCACTTTTTCTTTATAGTCATTATCTTACTCAAAAGTTCAATTATTTCCTTCCCACCTGAACAAAACAAAAGAAGACCAGGATATGGGGATGTGCACATCTTTTTTTCTGTCTCAAGTTACAACTTTAAAACATTAAAAACCTACTGAAGGTTCTTATATTAAAAAGACTTCAGGAGCCCTGGCCGGTTTGGCTCAGAGGTTAGCATGTCAGCCTGAGGACCAAAGGGTTGCAGGTTTGATTCCCAGTCAAGGACACATACCTGGGTTGCAGGTTCAATCCCCAGCCCCCACATCAATGTGTCTCTTTCACATCAATGTTTCTCCCCCACCCCCACCCTTCCATTCTGTCTAAAAATCAATGGAAAAATATCCCTGGGTGACGATTGGCAAAAAAAAGACCTCAGGAACTTACAAAGTGGTGATTAAAATGAAAAGGAAAGTGGCACTGATATTAATTAATTTGGAGCTTAGGATCACTGTCAAAATTTGCTTCCACAAAAACACTCACAGAGAAGGCCCTTTTCAAAAGCTTAAACACCAGTGGCATTTCTGATGAGAGGACAGAACAAGCTTGCAAATTTTAGAAGCAACTGCACTTTTAAATTGGATTCCCAATACACTGACTTTTTAAAAGAATGATATCAATTAAAAGTTGTCCAATTTTAGAGAATAAAAATGATCATTTGAATATCACACTGATGTATTTGAAAACATTTAAGATAGCTTTTGTGCCCTAAGATTCAAAAAAATGAAGGGACATTTAGCTTATAACACAGTGCAAAGGTTTAAACAGAAAGCTGGAGAAAGCAAACAATAAAGACTGTGGTTGAATTATCATTTGTTGTTCTGTATTAGAATGTTTTTGCTCTATCAGAGTAAATTAACTTGGAGAAGCTGGGGCTAATTAATAAAGCAGGAGTCACTTGGTGCACCCGGGTGCCAATATATACTCTTTTGATCTTGTCCCCATACTTGTTCAGCTTTGCTGTGGAACAGTAATTTTACAGTACAAGTGAACAGAAGACAACTGGCCACACATTCTTGAAGAGCAGGCTTTTTCAGCACCCAGCATTTCATTACCACCAGGAACAAAAGAGAAGGCTACAGATTACCAATAAGGGTAGTTCGCTAATACAGAGAGTGGAGACATTTCATTAGCATTAAAGAGAAAAGATTTTTTATGACCTAGAGTTGCTTACCATTACGACTCACTTAAGTAAAAAAGAAAAATCGAATGGTTAATTTACATGTGTAAGTGCTTGAGTCTCAGTCAATCCACTGATTGGTACAGTGCCATATAATGAGTGACAAACATAAGCATGCATTATCAGTAATTAGTATTAGCGCAAAAATAAGCACCTATTTTCTATTAGCAGTTTTACTAGCTTTTCTGTTTTATAAAAACGATCAAAACTATTTTTTAAATGATATTATTGGTTATGGAGGAGAACTTTATTTTTTTTAAACCATATTAGTAAAACATCTATCCAGTGTCCCTAAAAAGAGACAGTAAGAAATAACATTTTAAAAAATTGCTTTCCTTCAGTATTCTGGTATCTTCAGAATCCTTTTTCAGAAACAGTTTAATAAGAAGGGCAAAAAGAAATCCCTAAAGAAAATCCCTAAAAGAATATCTATTCTTTTATTTCAGCAACTAAAACACATAAAAACGACCTATCTAGACAAATTCCCAAACAAAATAAAAACAGTGTATCTGATACCACAGGTAAAATTGAAATGCTACACTTAGTCAAGATGACTGAGCTAATGACAAATACATTCTGCAGATGCCATCTGAATGCTACCAAAACATAATCCTAAAAATGCCTTAAATTTTTAAGAGCATACAAAAAGAAAGAATATATTCTTGTTTTTAAGTAGCAATAATTCCCATTCATCTTCCCAGTAAAATAAATATTATATTAAATAACATCACCTAAAGGCCCATATAACTAGTTAAAAATCAAGACTACTAATAGGATTCAATTTTAAAAGTGAAGTGGTGGTTGTAGATATACTGTCGTTAAGATTAAAGTGCTTGAAAAATTATTTTCTAATAAATCAGTAATGCATTATACTAAGTTTAATGAGCTTAAGTATATTTTTTTGGTTTTATCATTAAAAACATCTACTAAAAGCCCACCCAGCTTTAGATCTGTATGCTTAAAAGCATAATAGAAGATATCATATACAAAGAACATATAGCATAGCTGTTACTACTAGTGAATAAGAACACTGATGATGGATTCAACTGAGTTACCAGCTGTGAAATCTTGGACAAGTTAATTTAATCTCTCTGACCCTTAATTTCTTCATCAATATATGAAGGCAGTACTTACAAAATTGTAATGATACATATAGTAAATGCTCAAGAAATGTTAACTATGACTATTAGTATAGTCATTATGCATAGTACATATGCTAGTGTAATTCCATATTATTTATGTATAACTATATAGAATTTTAGCTATAGATATAATGATACAGAGCATTAAGAGCACAGGTACAAAGAAAGTACTAAGTACATGGTAAGTAATATTACAGAATATACATAATAAAACATAAACATTCTAATAAATAAATGGGCACTGCCTCAAAGAGACAGTTCATAAAAGATGTTTTTTAATTAGTAAGTAAACATACATGGAAAAATTTCGGCCATTTTTACTTAAAGCAGCAGTTCTCAACCTGTGGGTCACAACCCCTTTGGGAGTCGAAAGACCCTTTCACAGGGGTCACCTAAGACATAACAGTAGCAAAATTACAGTTATGGAGTAGCAACAAAAATAATTTTATGGTTGGGGGTCACCACAACATGAGGAACTGTATTAAAGGGCCGCGGCATTAGGAAGGTTGAGAACCACTGAGTCTTAAAGGAATATACATTAAAACAATGAGATACCTGTCAAATTAGACAAAAGTGTTAAAGTAATTCAGAATGTTGACAGGAAAAAATGTGGGTTGTTACTTATATATAAGGGAAGTGCAACTTAGTTGGGGGACTACTTCAATAGTTATCATGTAGTCTAGGATCCAGTCATTCATTCATTCACTCATTACATTCACTCATTCTCAAGCACTATTCTAGACATTTGAGATACGTCAGTTAGCAAAAATGAAGATTCCTGCCTTCAAGTTTATATTCTTATGGAGAAAATATATAACAAACAGTAAACATAATAAATCAGTGTATAAGTATGTAGAAGGTGATATATGTTACGAAAAAAGGAGGGTAAGGGGCATTGGTAGTGTGGAGGTCAACGGCAAATTGCAATTTTAAATAGGTGTAGGGACGGGCCTTGTTAAGGAGATAAAGATCTTGAGCAGAAATGTGAAGAATTGAGAGTTATTCTAATGGGTATCTGGGAAATACTAGTCCATACAGAAAGAATGTCCAGTGCAAAGGCTCTGCATAACTGTTCTAAATGTATGGATACTGTGTACTGGAGTGCTGGTGCAGCAATATTTGGGAGTATCCTTTTATCATCTCTAATTTTAGAAAAGGAGTACAAGCAGAAAACCATCCAGGATATCTAAACTAGGAATCCAGGCTCTGTCTGCTCAATGATCACCTCTGCCCTTAGAGGACACATTCTTGCCCACATACTTTCGCTTTCTCTAGCTATTTTCAACAATGGGTATATGCAGATATTGGCCTTTTCTCACATGCAATGGTAAGCTCCAAGGTTCGAGTTTGGAATTGTAGAGGAAATAAAAAAGCAAGATAATTAACATTTTTCATTCTAGGACATTCAGGTCAACTTGCTCAAGGAAAGAGGGCCTCATGCTGTTACCTCTTATATTCTAGAATGCTAAAACAAAATTTGGGATCAAATAAAAGCAATTATTTTGGCATTCCGTATTGTTTTATAGCCTCTGCCCATATTACTTTCAGAGCCCTGGTGAGAAAGAAGCATTTGGTATAACACCCACTATTGGCTATGGTTCCCTAATCTATGAAGAAAATAAGATTGGAAACAGTAGGGAGCAATAAGTAAGGCTGAAAATATAGAAGATACGGTCAGAGAGGATGCAGGAGGGCTTGAGCAAGGGGAATGACACTATCTTACACAGCATATTATTCCCCACTTCTCCTTAGTTTAAGCCCTTTTAAATTGGGTTTTCTATTACCTGCAGCCCAATGCGCCCTAGCAGACACCTCATGTCTTTGCTTTTCTTGAACTCTGGCTCATCAGGTAATTCTCCTTCCATTGGAGTTAACAGGTTTTATGTTAAGGAAGGTGACAGTACTTCTATTTATGCTGTCTTTTGTAGATCACAGGGAAATCCCTCTTGACACAGAAGATACAAGCAAAACATGAATTGAATAGTTCCATTCTCATCAAGACTCTGTTTGCAAGAAACAGGAGATTCAGCTAAAGAAAAGAGGTTTACTTACCACTCTGGGATGGGAACAGCACTGGTAACACACCCTTGAACTGGAGCTAGAGACTGGCCTGGGATTTGAGGTAGCTCTAGAGCGCTCAACTGATGTCTAGGGAGCACCCCTGCACTCCTCCCCCCTGTAATCCAGTTACTTCCTCTGTCTCTTTGTTCCTGTCTCATTACTAAGCCGGAACTTCCTTCTGTGCCTTTTAGTTCAAGTACAGGAGAGAGAGTACAGGATTGGCCTAATCCTCAAACAATATCGCACAAGTTCAAGGTTGTTGACAAGCTTGTGGACTAGCTACTATAAATCAGATGTCCAGACATGGTCCATTTGACTGAGACAGAAAGGGTCCTGTGGTATAGAATAAGCCTCTTTATTGCATGAGCAAATGAATGAATGAACATCAAAGTAATTCTCAATGGGGCAGGCGATGACAGACAGCTCCATCACATCTGCTTTCTCTTTGTTAGCAAGCAACATTTTATATAAGCAAGGGGCCTCTCTCCCCCTTGATCTCCCTTATACTTAACATGTAATTTGAAATATTCATTTTGTTGGCTGCATTCCTTTTACAAAACTCAACTCATTCAGAACATTAGTATCCTGATAGTTGCTTTTCTTTCCTTCTTCCCAACTATGTATCAACCTTCTGAAATCTGATCTCAATAGAGAATGCCCAGAGCAACCAGGCGAGCATTATGACTTTCATGGGCCTTAGCCACTTTTACCATTGTGTGCACCTTCCTCAATTAAAAATAAATTAATTTATATATATACATAAATTATATTTTATTACTATGTTGGTATAAAACAAATATAATACAGATATAGACAGATACAGGCTGGATTCACTACTAATATATTCATGTTTTTCTTCAAATTTTAAAATATTTTCATGGGCCCCTAAAAGTACCATAGACCCTAGACACTGTGACTACTGTGCCTGATGTGAGTCAGTACTGTGACTAATTTGGCCCTGCTTACTATAAATCTTCTCAGGATTTCTTTTGCACAGCCAGATTTTCATCGTGTCCTAACCTAAAATAGTCTTGCCAATGATCATGTCAATAGACCAATCGTTTCTCTGATTGTTTAAAATTTACATTTTTTTTTTTTTATTTATTTATTTATTTATTTATTTATTTATTTATTTATTTATTTATTTTGCACAGCCAGTGTGGCTCAGTGGATTAAGCATCGTCCCAGGGACTGAGAGGTCCCAGCACAATTCCTGGTCAGGGCACATGCCCAGGTTGTGGGCTTAATCTCCAGTAGGGGGTGTGCAGGAGGCAGCCAATGGATGTATCTCTCTCACATTGATGTTTCTATCTCTCTCTCTCTCTTCCTCTCTCTAAAAAATGAATAAAAACATATTTTGAAACAAATTTACATTTTTTAGCCCTGACCAGAAGTTAGAGCATCAGCCTGCACACCAAAGGGTCATGGGTTTGATTCCCAGTCAAGAGCAGGTACCTGGGTTGCTGGTTCAATCCCTGGCCCCTGTCGGGGCACGTGCAAGGCAACCAATCAATGTGTCTCGCTCACATCAATATTTCTTTCTCTCTCTCTCCTCCTTCCCTCCCTTCCACTCTAAAAAAAAAAAAATCAATGGAAAAAATATCCTTGGGTGAGGATTAACAAAACAATAACTAAATAAAATTTACATTTTCAAATATAATTCGTATGTACTACCTAGGAAATTCTAATGCTTTACATTCCTCATCTATATGATGAGGATAGAATAATAACTATTTTACGAATAAAATAAAGGATGGGAAAATGCTTTGTAAACCACAAATCATTTTACAAAGGTGGGCTATTAATTTACTTAAAGATTTTTTTTAACTTTAATACCTTAATTAAAAATTTGATTGTGCCAATTCAATTTTATTTCGAGCTAATTTAAGAGACTCATAATGAGAAACCACGAGAGATGGCCTTCAGTGAGTCATCACTGGCCTTTGTTGTTGGAGGCAGCATAACTTTATGTTAACTTGATGCTACTCTGAGAACTAAATGAGGTCCTTCTCTTCCTGCAATACTACATTAGTGAACTTAATATACCTCTTCAGAGTAGAAGAACAGCTCTTCTCCGTAAGCCTTTCTTTTGAAGACCTTTTACTTCTGCAATACAAAGATGTCAGGCTATCTTAAAACGTCTAAAGGGAGAAAGAAGCAAAGATACCTCTTCCCCAGATGCTGTAGTGTAACACCACTCCTAGCTAAAATTCCTTTCTCCTCTGTCAGAAATCAACATTGCTCTCAGCTATGTAGATTGAGACAAAGGCATTTGGGATAAAGGCATCCTGGCCACATTATATTTCCACTAACCAAAATTTTAAGCACAAAAGAACAGGAAATAACTCACTATCAATTTAAATGAGTAATTTCAGAGAATCTTAAAACTGTAAGAAACTTAAAATTCAACTAGGGCAATTCCCTCACTTTACCACAAATATAAAGGAGCTGTGTGAATCACCCAGGGTCTACCAAAGAGTAGAAACACGTGGATGTTAGTTTCCTACCCTTGAAAAAGTCTATGGGCCTTTATTCTAGGCAACCAGACACAGGAGTTTCTGCACTCAGCTCCAGAAATATTTTTCATAAGCTTTGGTGTATAGATCTATTTTTAAGCTTATATTCAGTACTTGTGGATTTTCCTATTTTTGTTCCAATAATCAGTTGTTCTTATAAAAAGCTTTATAGAAAAACTAACTACAGTATTATGTTTCAGAACTACTAATGAAAGAAGACTAATAAAGAGAAAGTAATCTTAGTCTATCTAGAGTATCTCTAGAGCATCTATTACTACTACTACTACTACTACACTCAGCATGACAGGATACAGAATAAGCATAAGACATGGTGTTTGCCTTTATCTCATATTTGCTCTCACAAGAAATAAAGATCAGGAAATAATACCAAGTTGGAGTCACAATTTCGGAAAATCCTAAAACTAGAAGAAACTTTAAAAGTTCAATTAGGACAATTCTCTCGCTTCATCACATATAAGTTGTGAAGCTTAAAAGACGTATGTGAATCATATAAAAACACTTTTAAAAAACTCAAACATCTTTAAAGACATTAGCTGGTAACCATTACATTATCTTCATCATGGTGTGGGGAAAATGTGGATTCAATGACCAGAGTATCAGGGCAGGCGAACGGTTCCTATGAAAGGCTGAACAGTAAATTTTTTAGGCTTTGCAAGCCAAAAATGGGCTGTGTTGAATTTTATTTTTATTTTTTAATGATCCTTTATAAATATAAAAATTATTCTTTTCTCACTGGCCGTATAAAAACTGATGAGCCAGATTTGCCCTGTGCAAGCTGGGGTAGGTGTGCCGACTCCTGAACTGGATAGTAATATTAAAGTTATTAGAGATAATTCAAACCAATTTATAAAACAATAATAAAATCAGGAACAGACTTCAAATCTTCATACTTCATTCAGTATACCATTCTATATCTAGAAGCATCTCTTCCTTACCTGAAATTCATCAAAACATAAGAGACATGCTTCTTCGCTGATTTCTTCAGCTATGGGAGCTATTGGATCATATGATTTAGCCATGAATCCCGGTTTCCTTTTTGGCAAACTCTGTTTAAGGCGGTGTATTCCTTAAATGGATAAAATTAAACACAAAATTAAATACTATATTAATGGCACATTTTAGACAACTATAACATTTTTTAAATCTAAATAATGAAACTTTCATGTAAACATAAGTTTAAATTCCACACACAATCAAATGTGACTACTGAAATCGGTTACATTTTCTCTACATCAAAATAAGTTGCTGACATATTATTATATTCCCATGACACTTTGTGGTCATTCCATCTCTATTCTTCAATCACTTTAGAGATGACAAAGTGATGAGCTAGAAGACTAGATGGTGACTACATGGACCAATAGATCAATCTTAGTCCTGAGAATTTCAAGGATGCACACAGTGGAGGTAATCCTGCCCTATGGCTAGCATATCTAATCAGAATTTTGTTGGCCCTAGCCTGATACACTAAAGCCAGTCCCACTTCATTTATATCTGTACTAAATGCTGAGAATATTGTAAGAAAAACACAATATTCCTGCCCTGGGGAGGTTACAATGTAGCTGATAGACAAATAATGCAAAAATGAAATAAAATAAGAACATTGACAAAGCAATAAAGCATATATACAAGTACAAACTGAATGCCTACCTGCTAAGGTGAAACAGTAAAAAGGACCTAATCAAGAATAAATTATTTTTCAATTAAATTTATCAGAGTGGCATTACTCAATAACATTACATATTTAAGATTCAAGTGTGCAATTGTATAATACGTCATCTGTATATTGCACTGCATACATTTGACCCTCTTTACACTCTTCAACCTCAACCTACCCACCTTTACCCTCTGGTAACCACCATACTATTGTCTGAGTTTGTTTTGTTTGTGGCTTTCCGTTTTATATTCCACATAGGAGTGAAATCATATGATTCTTGTCTTTTTCCATGTGACTTATTTTGCTTAGCATGATATTCTCAAGAACTGTCCATGTCACAAATGACAGTATTTCATCTTTTCTTATGGTTGAGTAGTAAAGAATAACTTTTTGAAACAGATGAGGTTTTTAACATTTCTTACTGATCCTTGGCAGATAGAGAAAATGCCTGACCTTCATATAGTAACCTCTGTTCTCATATTTGGAAGTACTGATTTGTCTTTAGGACCAACTCTGGACACATTACTAATTGTTTCAATACAGCACAAAACAAAAATCTTACTTTAAGCAAAAATATATTTTTTAAATATAAAAAGGTTCAGAATTTTAAAAGATGAGGAAAATTATCTTGTAGTGTTTGCCTACTAAAAATCACTTCTTGCAGATACTTTACTTACTTTTGTGAACATCTAACATGAAACCATGAAAATGAACCCGTTTTTTCCTCTTCATTTCCACATAAGCATAAAACATGTCCATCACCATTGTTTTCCCTGTACCTTAAATAAAAAGGATACTATTAAACAGTATTACTGATTGCTTTAATGATTGTTCATTAGCTTAGGATAATGAAACCACACTCTTCTACTAGAAAGCTTAGGACTATGTCACTTAGGATTATGTCACTAGAAAGAATTGTTTATGTTTTATTTTAATCCAAAAAATAAAATATTACTCTTCTCTGTTAAAATCTTGTTTTTAGGAAATATTACTAAATATTAGTTAATGTTACAGGGGCTATTTCCCCTCCCTGAAAACTATGTTTATAAACTGGCAAAATTTCTAGATTATACATTCTTCATTTTCTCTTCCAAATGGCACCAGTATGAATACAATAACTTCATTAATTAAATAAATATGTATTGGGCTATTACTAAATGTGAGAAACTATCTTAGGCACTGTGAGAAAATTCAAGCATAAAAAATAAGGAAATAAAGATTAGTATCTAACATAAATACTGAAAATAAATAATAGCTATAAATTAGAGCTGGAGGATTGCCAATTATAACACTTTTTCAAAAATCTGAAAATATAGGTCTTTCAAAATGTAGTCTACTCAAAGAAATTCTGATATAGTCAACCTTTATAATTAAATTATCTAATTTTCAACACTGGCACTTTTAATCACTACGATTCCGTTAGTAATTGAAGAGTCAATAGCCTGGACATGTAACAAGGGCATGCACAGAAAGCCTTTTTTCCCAGCACAAAGGCGAGCTCTGGGGACAATGGCAGAGTTCAAGCTCTGTTCACATCAAGCATTCGTGGGCAGGCCAGGCCACAGGGTGCTGGTCCTTCCTGTCTCTCATCCTTCTGCTTTCTCCACCACCACCCCACCGCAGTGCCCATGTTCTCCTCAGGTCTCAGGAAGTGAGACCTGAGTCTTAAATTTGGGGGGGTAGGGGCTTTCCTCCACTCTATAGATGACGTTGGGCCCATGCCATTTAAATTATATATGAAAATACAATTTGTCAAAGAAATTTTAAATAAAGAGACCATTTAGACTGAAATATAATTTTTTGCAAAAATATCCAGTACAATATCTCTTGGATATAGTGAGGCAGCAGATTTTAAATCATTATATTTACCTAAAAACGTAAATCAATAAAGTTTCTAATTCTGCTGCATAGAGTATAGTATACTGATAGATCCAGAAAAAAGTAATAAGTTATCTAACCAAAAATGTAAATAATATATATTTGAAGTAACCTTTGTGCTCTTTTAAAAATTGGCTTAAAATATAGCAAGACCATCATATAAAAAGTTTCTGGAGATAAAATTGTTTTTAAAATTATGGAAAAAAAATTGATAGATTAGGCTACATGTAATTCAACCTTCTAAATATCAAATTTGCCATAAATAAAATTAATATCTTTATTCCTTAATCAATATATTTTTACTGAATGCCTACCTCATGTAAGGCCCTATTCTAGGTGTTTAGAATATTCTAGTGAAAAAAACTAACAAAAATTCATGCCTTCATGCAACTTGCAGGGTTTAACCTTATATATCTTTTAAGATATAAAGAGCTCTTAGAAATTACAATGAACATTTTTTTTGTCCTAAATATCTTCCTTCTGAAAACTTGTCTACTTAGTATGATTCTATGAGAATATCATTCACAGGGTGGGCCAATAAAAATACCCCACTACCTTACACAGTGAGATTGGCCCTGCTGTTGGCATATGACCCAATTAGATTACATTCTGTGGGAGGAGTTAATATGGATTCTGAAAATAAGAATCATCCCTTCTCCTTCTAAGAGAGCAACCTAGATGATCTCAGGAGCCTTCTTAAAAAATTCTTACAGAGAATGAAGCCAACAATAGTAAAGCAGAACCAAAAGATGAAGAAGGAGAGAGAGATCCCTAAAATATTATTAATATTATTTAAGCCCACATCTCTACCCATAGCTGAATCAGATCATTACTTAATTTCACAATTAAACCAACCATTAAATTCATTCCCCTCTTGGTTCAGCTAATTCAACTGCCCCCCCCCCCACCACCACCACCACCACAACTGAAAAAATACTGAGCAATATAGAATTAACAGGGGTGGAAAAGAGGATCAATTGCAAAGAAGATGAGTATTCAAATAACACAAAAAATATAAATAGCTTTAAACATTTTTAAAGTTTAACTCCATCAGAAATAAAAGAAATACAAATTAAAACACCAATGATACACCATTTTTATGTTGGTGAGGACATGAGAAAATGCAAGTAAAACACCTAGGTCTGGCTGAATTGGGTTAAGAGACTTCAAAATTATGGCAGTCCAACACTGGTGAACATTTCCAGGCAAAGCATCAGAGAAGAGGAAGCAATATAATGAAAGGGCTCCTGAAACCAACCTGTGGGGACTCTTGAGACTTTGGCTGAACACTAGCTGCTTGTATGTAGAGTGCTACTCCATGATGTGAGGCAAAGAATGGCCACCAGGAAGCTATTAGATGAACAATTCCAGTTGTTGTATGTATCATATCTCTGGAAATCATGGATAACACAAGGTATTCTTACAGTAATAGAACTGTCCAGTATCTTGACTATGGTGGTGCATACATGAACCTACACAAGTGATAAAGTGTACACATAAATGAGTACAAGCAAAACTGGAGAAATTTGAATAAAAATCCATGAAATGTATCAATGTCAATTACCTGGCTGTGATATTTACACTACAGTTTTGCTAAATGTTACCTTTAAGGGCAATAAATTATAAAATATCAAAATACGTCACATGTAAGGGTAAGTTTTCTTTCATGGAACTATTTTCGATGAACAAAGGCTCTCTCTGCTTTTATCCACAATTACAACTTCAGAAACAACACACTGCCTGGCACAAGGCAGATGTTCAATAAACATCTGTCAAGTGAATGGAAGAATAAGGACAAAAGATGCTGGGAAAAGGTAGGGAAGAAATCTACACTAAATTTTACTGACTCCACAATTTTCTTTAGTCTCTTCAGAATCTTAAAATAAAACCTTGCAGCCCTGGCCGGTTTGGCTCAGTGGTTAGAGCATCGGCCTGCGGTCCAGAGAGACCTGGGTTCGGTTCCCGCTGAGGGCACGTACATCGGTTGCAGTTTGTCCCCAGCCCTGGTTGGTTGTGCGGGTGGCAGCCGCTCGATGTGTCCCTTTCACATCGATGTTTCTCTCTCTCTCTGTTCCTCTCTCTCCCTCCCACTCTACCTGAACAAAAAATGGAAAAATGTCCTTGGGTGAGGATGATAAATAAATAAATAAATAAATAAAACCTTGCATATTTCTTAAGAGAAGATTCTTGCTAGGGGACTAATTTGTAAAACCTAAAACTCTTTTATGTTCTAACTTTCAAGCCTCTAGTTAGAAAACCAAAATGACTACTTGAGAGCCCCCCCCCCATGATGTCCTTTTCCTAACTGACCCCCTGATAAAGGAGCTATAAGTAGTGTCCTCCATCATGACCTACAAGCACAGCACAATTTTGCTTCCCAACTCCTAACCTTAAAACCAGCCTACCTTTCAACTGGTGAATTTATCAAAGTGAAATAGGTGAGGTTAAATCAAGAGTCAGCAGAAAAGGGACTGATAAGCAAATATAAACATTTATTATCTCCTAATATACCAGAGAAATCATTAACCTTGCCATCACCACTGCAGTCTGCTAGTCAAGAGCTGAAACCTTGTTGTAAGAAGGCCTGTTATAGGGTAATAATGAAGCCACAAAATACTATGGCAGCTTTTAGTCTCTGCATGGTTTATGCTCAGCATTTTATTAATGAAAACATTTTGTTTCAAGATTGAACAATGATGATAATCCCTTCAATTTATATATCAACTCTACCGGGGTTTCCTGGATTGAGGATCTACCTGAGTCAATCATCTCAACATATCTCCGAAGAAAGGCAGTCTAGTCAAGTGGGCATGGCAGAGGGCAAGCCAAGTGCCGGGAACAAGAAGTGGGAAGGGGGCACTAAGAAGCATCACTTAATGCTTGTTTCCCAAGTCTAAAAAAGGAAAATAGTAAAAAATAAGAGCTTTCAAAGGCACAGTGAGGCTTTTCTCCCAGCCAGAGAGCTTCCCAAAATGAGAAACTGACCTGTTGTTTATCACCTATTTTGTAAGTATTCTAAACTAAACTGAGTAGAGTCACCAAAATGTTCATCTCACTTCCTTTTTCAGAATTCCTTTCTCTTTTCCTCTCTACATTATAAAGATGTTCCTAACCGAAGGTTGCCACATACCCACCCTATGTGAACATCTTATTACACCTTTTCTAATTGTTTCAAGCATTTAGATGAATTACATTTACTGCACTTCCCTTCAATCAGTTAGAAGACGGCTGTATTTTTCAAACTAAAATCCAACAACTTTCATGTTGTTTTTTAAGTCCTTTTGCAGAAGTAGAAGAAGATGTGCTTTACTAACCATCTCCATTTATGGTTAAGTAGTTACAAGAACAGGAGAGATAAAAGACATTGGTTTTTAGCAATGACTGAACATGAAAGTGAAGGTATAGGAAGGACATGTTCTCCAAAGAGGCAAAGAGTGAGCTCTGACAGTAGGATGAGATCTGGTGGCAGTGCCCAAAGGTGCAGATTGTAAAACTGACCATGCACCTGGTATAAAACGCTTTCTAAATAAGAAGAAAGCATACATTGGTCTCAAAAATACCAATTAGTCAATGAACTAAGAAAAAAAATAGTTTGAGCTTCTTTAAATTTTTTTAATCTGTAAGTTTCAAGAACTTGAATTTTAGGGGCAATCTCTATCATTCACTTTTGTGAATTAAACAATTCTCTTTTATTAGGTTCGCTAAATCTGTAAACGTAAAACAAACTTAGCAACATTAGTGAACAAATCAGAAAAGAAAGAAAGGACACTCTTCTTAAAGATGAGAAGATAAACCCTTAAAGTTTTATCTTCAAGGCACTATAACTACTTATTCAACTATTTCATTTCTTGCCCTAAATATATCACTAAGATAACACCTTCTGCCACCACTCCCTCAGAATGCATATTCATTATGGCTACATGGAAGCCTGAAGCTTGCTCATTAGTCTGGGACCAAAACTGATCCCATCACATGTAAATGCGCGTTTTAAGTGTCCCACTAAAAGAAATGATTGGCAAGCAAGTAAGCGCCACTTCCACGACATCAGCAAATGTGGGTAACCGGGATTTGTTTGAAGGAAACGAAAAGCAGAAAACAGACGATTTCGGCAAGAATGAAGTCAGAGAAAAGGCAAGACACTAGTTGATTGGGAAAATCTAGAAAGTAAACAACTGCTCATAAATTTTCCAAGAAAATGTGAGTCTTTGTGCCCAATATATAGAAATGAGAGAACAAGGAACTATTACCACTCATGCACTAAGGGTATTTACTAATAACTACATTTAGGATAAGGACTTAGATTATGAGTAGAAATATTAGTGGAAGGTAAAAGTGAAAAAAAAAAAAAAGCTTTTTAAAAAATTACATATTAAACTGAGTTAAACAGCAGTGAGCAACAGGATTCTATATTACCTAATGACCTATCTATAGATGATTTTCTTCCTGAGATTAACTCACTTTATGCATTAAATAATGTCTGTACCCTAACATGCTAACGAATACTGCCTTGAACTACAGGCACGCCCTGTGAGAAGTAACAGTGCAGACTAAGATAACTGCCCTCCCCGTCCCGTTAACCTCACCTCATCCTACTCCCTTGCTGGTAGTGGACTGAAGGATGGAGATGGAAGTTATCTCTGAGCAAAAGCTGGGAAACTTTCTCTTTGTACCACCCAAAGCTTGTTTTAACACACTTACCAACATCTCCATAAACATAGAGGCCCCTTGGAGGTTTGCTCCTTGAAAAAAGCTGCAAATTAAGAACAAATTATAAATCTCTAACATGGAAATAATTAAATATCGTCATATACACAGTGTTCCTGACTGTGCTATAGACAGGGCTAAAATGGGCTACTGTGTACAATAAATACCCAAAACACTTGATGTAAAAGGCTGGGAAACCTTGGATTTCAATACAGGGGGCAAGAGTCGTAGTCCAGAGCAAGAGCTCTGAAGTCACACAAGTTTGCACCCCCTACACCATCTGCCAACCAAGTAATCTTCCCCCTCTTACCCAAACAGGCTCTCCAAACAATGGCAGCCTAGCTCATTCCCAGCAAGCAACAGATTAGAAGAATTTTTCTGGAGAAACTAAAGGGTCTCCAGAAAAAGAAAAAAAAAAAAAGACTCAAATGCACTTAGGTGTGGGTTTCTCCCACAGAAAGAGCTAGTTCCCTACCAGATCACTTTAGAGTAAAGCACACCACTCAACCAACCAAGGATGGACCTTTCCATCTGCTGGTCAGTATCTAAAAGTCACTAAAAGCACCTAACAACCATGAAACAACAGATTTTTTTTTTTTAAATCTTCCAAGATGAAAGCTGGAGATCAGAGCAAATGTACAGGGGGTGGAAAACTCCCAGGAAACAGACTACACAGACAGCAAAAGGAATCTTCAAAAATAAAACTCTAATCAATATAATTAAAATGCTGACAAAAACAAGAGAAACTATTAAAACTATAAAGCAAGAACAAAATGCAATTTTAAAATGGAACATTAAGAATAAAAGAGAACATTCTGAAAATTAAAACACGGTAGCAGAAAAAAAATCTCAGGGAAAAATTTAGAAGATAAGCTTGAGGAAATGTTCCAGAAAATATAACAAATAAACATCAATAATCAAAGATGAAAAATATAAGAAAATTACGGAATTAATTCAGGAGATCCAACATCTAACAAAAAGGAATTCCAGAAAGAGAAAAACAAGAAGGGGAAGTTATCTATGAAATAACGCAAAGATTTTTTTTTAATGCACAGATTTTTCTCAGAACTGAAAAACTTGATTTCTAGATTGGGAGGACAGACTAACTGTCTAAACAATGAGGGAAACAAGACCCAAACTAAGTCATAACCCTGTAATTTCCGAAGTCCTGGGATATAAAGAAGATCCCACAAACATCCAAGGTAACGGGGGAGGAGAGCAAGGGAAACAGGTCACAAACAGATAAAGACTTGGAATGAAATATGAAGGAAAATGATTTCCAATCTATATATCTAATCTACTCATCAGGCATGAAAATGGAAAACTGAGAATCCATATGTACAGGGTGTCAAAAAAAACCTCCCCAACAGAAAGAGGGAGACCTAGGCTCAAGGAAACACAGAGGATCCTGGGAAGGAAGCCCTGGTGAGACGGAGGGTTGCTCCAGGACCATGGTGGCACAGCAGGTCAAGAAAGCAATCAAGTCCAGACCAAAATAGGGGGGTGGAGGGCTCCAGGAAAGAAACGAAAGGGAACTTCTCTCTACCTGATACTATTATCAACCCAGATACCCATCCTGAATTGTGTTCCACTTAGAAGAATAACCTGCAAACTGCAGCAGTCCCTAGACACCTCTGCGGCAAACCAAAGTGAGCAAAGCGAAAGCAGAGATGACTCAGAGGGTAAAGCAGAAAGAAGCCAACGTTATGCCACTCAGTACCAATTAGAGCACTCAATATTTTGGCAGAGAACATGGACGAAAGCTAGACTTAAGGATCTGGTACATAATGTGTTGTTTTTTAATCTGCGGATTCACTCTAACCTGCCTCAGAAACCTCTCATGCTTTCCTGATCCCTTAGCTTTCTCTTCTAAATCCAGTCCCTGACCCCGCATGTCCCCTCCAGAAGAACCTTCACTATAGTTTAGACAGAAAGATGTACTTGCTTTGATTTTGCCCGCTGTATGCCTTCCCTGTGTGCCCCTGCACACGAACTCCCCATCTATTCTTAAATATCAACTGAAAACAGATTCCACTCCTGCCAAAACCTCTTAATTTGTCTTGTTTTAACATCTCACAGGAGCTATTCTTGTACGCTGGTTATTCTGTTTTCAGAAAAAAAGTGTTACGCTCATAAACAATTTTAGAACAGCTTCAAACTGGAAAACATACACACAACCTAATAATTTCAAAGTATGTTCTATGTATTATAAATCTTTTGAAAGCAACATTCTGTGATAGGTACCTGGAGTGTCACAGCAATTCATAATTCTTCACAACACATTTTGCAAGAATAGCCTGGGGCCTACTCTAGTACTGCTCACATGATATGCTGAATAAATGAAGTTAAAGGCAAAAAAAATAAAGATGGGGGAAAGGATAACAGAAAGAACTCAATGCTGCTGGGGGGTGGAGGAGACACTCAGGCCCTGGCCAGTGTGGCTCAGTTTGTTTGGAGCTTTGTCCCTTACATGGAAAAGCTCCGGTTCCATTCCGGGTCAGGGTACCAACCCAGGTTGCAGGTTTGATGCCCAGTCTGGGCATGTGCAGGAAGCTACCAATTGATGTTTCTCACATCGATGTTTCTCTTTCTCCCTTCTCTTCTCTCTAAAATAAATGGAAAAACATCCTTGGGTGAGGATTTTTTAAAAAGCACTCAGTGTCCTATCTTCTGTATACCCACTGAAACTCCATATAATTTGAAAAAGCATTTTGGCAAATATTATATTATATATCACATATGTAATTTACATTATATTGTATTATATTTTATAGTAATATTTAGAATGATAAAGAGATACTGTTTTAGAGTACCGACGGAGAACATCCTCCAGCATCTGAAATCACAAACACCTCGTCTGACATAGTGTTTAAGATGCAGATTTTACTCTAAATAAATTGATAAACATAGCAGACACTCCTCTAACAATAAATGTTAGCTATCATCTACCTAAACAATGGTATATTCTCCCAAGTATTTTCAATTGGAGAGGCAAACCAGTTTTCTCCTAATAAAATTTCAGTCTTCTAAGAATTATTGAAATTATCTCAAGGGACTTAAACATCAGAGGGGAAAATCAGAGGAATAAATGGACAACAGTAAGACTATTTAGAAGACTGTAAAATAAGTCCTAAAGAAATTTTTTAATTCTTTATTCATAATAGAATTCAGGGAGAGTTAGGTTCCTGCAGTTTTCTTCAAGATGACTAACTTACACAGGAACCCACATCGTTTACATGCTCCTAATTTACATTTTCTCACAATTAGCCCTGTTCTTCAGTTCCACTAAATTTCCTTTCTTAATGTATTAGTTTTCTGTAATTTGTTCTTATGCCTCAGAGAATTCCACCCTGGCATAGTTCCCCAGTGCTGATATTCTCCAAGGGCTCCCCTCTCCCAAAGGCCTCCTCCTGCTTGCTCTGTACCCCAGGGTGCTGGCTGGCTGCTGGCTGGTTTCAGCCCCTGGGAGGCACCACCTGCAGGAGACAGGAGGGATGGGTGGACCGCAATCCCAGTCATTCTCCCCTGCTCCCTCCCTGCTCCAGTGTCTTAAGGAGCCTCATCCCTCCAGGACCATCAGGTCCTCATGCCACAGGTCCAGCTCTCTCCAGGCTCCTCCTTCCCCACTCCAAACCTATTTGCTGCCCCAGGCCTGCCCTGCCCATGACTCTCTAGGTCATCTCTTGATTCAGTCTTTATTTGAAACATCTGCTTTGAACTGTTTCCAGCCAGGATTCTGATACACCCCCAACCTCTAAAATGCACGGAAGTAACATTAGACAAACACCTGAAAATGTGAACATGAATAAATTTCTCTAGTAACCAGTGTAAGATATGTTATGTTACTTGTATCTTAGGAAATTTGTAAAGGAGGATAATGAAACCTTTTCTAATGGGTTTTTGATGAGTCCAATGACACTGCATTGTAGAATGTACAGATGGTAAACTTAAGCATGATGTTGGAAGATCATGGTGACCTATCACCTGCCTCTGCTAAGCATAAAAGGTATATCAGAAGAATACTGGAGTTGAACCCAAAAGATCTTGTACAAGTTCTGGTTTTGCTACTTATTAGCTATGTGATTCCAGGTAAGCCTCTTCAACACTACAATCTGCTATTTTCTTATCTATTGGGTACAGGGCAGAGCACAAGGGAGTTCCCACTCATTGCCTACTTCTGCATACCTAATCACTGAACCCACTCCTTCACAACGAAGACCGAAAACCTCATGTGCTTACTGATACCCACTTCAATACAAATGTGTGGACCATGAAAAAAGGAACATTGCACCCCGACACACCCGTCTCAAAGATCTGAACAACACTAATGTACACTCAAGATATTTTCTATCTAAAACTCTATACCAAACAAATCAAGAATTCAAGAACATGTAGCACAATTTCAAACATAGTCCATATGCTAAGCCACAAAGGAAACCTCTATAAATTTCAAAAAATCAATGTACTATAACCGTAATATAATAAAATTAGAAATAATGGAAGAATAGCTAAATAATAGGAAAACCTCATACTAAGATATTGACCTTCCCCCATCATGTCCATCCAGACTTCGGAAGACTGCTGAAAAAGATCTGAGAGCCCTGCAGAGTGTACCCTCACCAGACCCTCCACACTGTCAACAACTGTTTCCCTGGTTAGTTCATTCTTTCTCCACAGTGATGCTCTAGAACCTTCTCAGCTCCCTTCATATGAAACTACACTTCCTCTATCACTTTCAGCAGATGTGACCCACTTCTTCATAGACAGGAAGCAGGGGCAGAGGGCTGGAACACCTACAACTTCCTATATGAAACGGCAATCCCACCCGTGTCTGCACCCATCCTTCCCGCTTCCTCCTGTGACAAAGGAAGAATTCCTCTCCCAATACGACCACCTATCAATTTCTGGATCTCAGCCCCTCTCCTCCACCCTCTCAGGAAACACGGCCCATCAGATTAAATTTTTCACTTCTCTTGTAATCCTTCTCATCAACATCAATATGCCCCCACGTTTCCAAAGGCTTGTGAATTCTAAATTTAGTATGAA